TCAGGGTTTTTTTGACCTTCCTCAGAAGCTTTGGGTGTTGACTGCAGCCAAGGATGGGAATTTTGACTGGGATGTGCCAATGCTCCTGCTGGGACTAAAATCCAGAGGTTCCTGGTTAAAGGATCTTTGGGGACAGTGATTTGATCCGTTGATTTCGATCACTGTCCCGGATTCGATTCAGCCAAATCCAAATCTGAAGATACAACCCCGATTCAACGAATCAGAGATTCGGACACAGGCACAGCTTTAAAAGTTTTTTTCTACATACCTTGAGGTAGCAGGCGCACCTTGTGATCACTGCAGTGCTGGGGCACATGGAGTGTCCCACAGGAAGGCGGGGGGCTCTCCAGCATGCTCAGCAGTGAACCCAGAAGTGGACTGGAAGTACTTCCAGTCCACATCCACGTCTGCCAGGGAGCACACCAGGGGCATCCCCTGCACCCCCCCTCCCCCCACTCGGCTGTAGGGTGACCCCAGGTACCCTCCCAGACCCAGGAGGCACCAGTTCCCAAGCCAGGGAGGTGCGGGAGGGACCCCCCTGCGCACTTCCCAGTGGACCAGGAAGTGGACCAAAAGTGCTTCTGGTCCACTTCCGGGTCTGCTGCCAAGCGCACTAAGGAGCCCCCCGCACTCCTGTGGGACACTGCATCTGCCCCAGCACCTCAGTGTTCGGAGTCCCTGCTATGTAGAGGTATGTAGAAAAATCATTTAAAGCTGTATCCAAGTCTGAATCGCCAAATCTGTCCAAATTGATTCAGAGGGTTCCAAATCGATTTGGAGAGATTAAAGGGTCCTCTGATTCAGTTTGGATTTGGAGATTCAGCCACCAAATCAGGCGGAATCAAATCAGAGACCAAAGCTTCGCACAGTCCTAGAAGACAGCAAAAAAGTCTTACTGATACAGCAAAATAGAAATAACCAGGCAGCACAAGCATAAAGCACAAACTTCAAAAATCAATAACAAGGCAACTAGAGAGTTAAAAAATATTTAGGAACAAAAATCTGTGATCCTTATCTTTAGCAAAACTTCTTATTAATTCCAAGAAGAATATTGCTTAAGGAACACAGTTTGGCCCTTGTTTAGCTGTGAGAAATTTCCATTCTGGAACATACAGTAAACATGCTCTGGTTTAAAAATGAAGTTAGTTTTAGTAGCATTAACATTATGAAAATAGGTAGTTTACAATTCTAGAGAGACATTTGAAAGTTTTTCAAGTCAGAGAAGTCTTTCCACAAAGAAATATCCAACTTTAGAAACAGCCAAGAACAAATGTAACCTTGATATAACTCCACTCAACTCAGAGTTGCATGAAGGATTATAATTCAACACCAAAGTTTACCAAAAATGTCCAATTCAAAAGTGACTCAATTTCCAGGTTAATAAATATTTTGTTCTTTTACAACAGAAAATACAAATACAATTATGTGTAAAATATCTATTTGGACTGTTAACTCATATTTAATAACCCATGTTTATTAACCCATAAATGAATTAGATACGTACTGCTCAAGTAATTTTGAAATCCCAACTTACTTATTCAAGGTGGAAAATCAATACATACTGCTTGCAAAGATTTTATTTCTTGTGACTAGTTTTATATTCAATGTTGTTCAACTGTTTCCAGTAAACATATTTTTAAAGAAATTAGGTATTATTTGCATGTGAAATACTGAAGGATGAATAAGGTATCAAATTAGTTAACATTACAAAAATATTACAAATTAATTCATTTATATTGACTTGCTTCCAACAGCAAGAGTGCACTGAATATAATGTAAAATGAAAAACCATTATAAACTGAAGAACCTTCTCAGAGGAAAAGTGACTTTACATGTAAAACTAGGAGACAGAAATGGTCTTTCCAGATTTAAAAATTAAATCCTATATTCATGTAACTGTCTCAACTTACCAGAAGAGTGCAGTTGGCTATGCCCCTCCTACTTTTTGATACCATATTGCAAGGAAATAATTTTGTCCTTTTATCTCCTTGTTCTCAGGTGTTCTACCCTAAACACAAAGAAAGTATTCTTGAAAAAGGATTTTGGTTGCAGAAGTAAAGTCAACATTACTCACATTTCCAATAGTAAATATAACCACTACCACACTAGAGAAGTGCTACAAAACAGGTTTCAACAAACACATGTGTATTCAACAATTCAATATATCTTCTGGATTCTCCACCCTTAGGCAAAGCCATTTAAGATTTCTTATCTGATGCCCATGAAGCATGTCAAAAGCATATTCATCTTTCTCTGCAGCCATTTTAAGAGCTTATCTGCAAGGCTGTTGCCATAAAAAACAGAAAAAAATTACAAAACTTTCTTTAAAGTACTTTTGGGATTACACATTATTAAAACACAGGGCAAAGCAGCCTGTGCCATCTCCTGTTTAATAAATGCAGTGGTACAATGTAAATTAATCCCAAAACTGCTAGATTTTTCTCTATTCTATAGAAGAATTGCCTATGCAGAGGTAAGATACTTAAAGCAGACTGATATAGCATGCATCACTGATTATCCTTAATTATCTGATTCAAGTTTAATTCTATACTGTAGACCAGGCAATTGACATTATTTGTTACTTAAATGTCAAGTTTTTAATACTTGAATATTCCACCTTCTGTATTCATTTTGTGATTCCTTCAAAAGAATCTTTCATTCTCCGCTTCTCTACCAACAACAAGCTTTGCCATAAGCAGACCTACTCTTTTTAATATGATTAGCTATTGGGCTTTCTATTTTCTAAGAGCATTTTCAGATTTACTTTCCTTCTGCCAACAGTATGGCATTCATTGCTAAAGCATTTATACAGTTCTACTATCCTAAAAATAAAATGGAATTGTAAATTACCAACCCCACTCTCCCCCCAAAAACGTGCCCATTTTACAGGGTACCCACAGTTACAGAGATTGAACTGTCTTCCTTAAAATAACTATATGATCCTACACAAATATAGAAGCATATGCTACATAATTACAGATGAGGAGGAGCAGATCTATCAGCACAGAGACTAGGGGATTGAAGCAGAGCAAAGTATTGTTCCAGGAACACCTGTGGCCATATAGCCATTAGTTCAAGTAATTAATGGCTACATGGCCACAGGTGTTGCTGGAACAATACAAGGACTTAATGCATAGCTCATTTCTATAAAAACTGCAGTTATCACTATAATTTTAGAATTTGATCTTACAATTACTATGCTGTAAATATCTCTTACTGTCAGTACAAAATGTAAAATACTTTTTTTTTTTTTAAGTTTCTGAGATAAGGGTCAACAATACATATAGTCCTGACTTATAACATTATAAGTGTTAACTGGAGTCTGATATGAATGCCACATTAACACATCAACAAAAGGCATTGCTTCCCTACAGAAAGCAATATGACCCATCACAAAACTAGAGGTTATGATGACAGGTATGTTTATCCTGTCATGTTTTATTCACTCACAGTATCTCATTACCCCTCACTGGGAATAAGTCTGTGGGTGTGCCAATTTATTAGGAGAAACAATAGCTATTTCACCAGATTGGTTCTCAGTCTCACCTCAAAATGGGTAACTATAACCCAAACCAGGAAAGCTTGAGGCACAGAAATTATATCACTCTCTTTGTATTTTATAATTTTTTTTAAGGTTACCACCTTAAAATGGTTTGCAGGTCAGGAGGATGGGAGTAAGATGGCTAGTCCTTCCTGCCAATTAAAATGTTCTGCTGTTAAAACAAAACTGTAACCACTGAGTTAAAAATATGGCAACAAAACAGCAGAACAACCATAAATATTGAATATTTTGCTACTAAACAATATCAATAAAGCTGATCGTTAGAGGACTCTCTCATTTTTATAAAAGGAGATAAAAGCCACAAGTCAGACAGTGGCCACTTACCATTGGAAGAAAATCTTAGAAAGGAAGAGTAGTCTTTCAACAGAAAAGAATGAGGAACTGCAGAGGGAAGGAAAAACCCTTAATGGAAAGGGTTGAAAATTAAATAATTCACAGATGTGCTGAGAAGGGAACTGCTGCTTCTCCTCCTGCAGCTATTGATGCTGGTTTGCTGCTGCCTTCTATACCACACCTGTTCACTTACATGGTGTCATACTCCGTGCGCCTTGGGAGTCTCCTTTTGTTTCCCACCAAGAGTACAGCATATCATATTCAAAGAAGACATCCACCATTGAACCAACATACCTGAGTGAGAAAGTAAAATGCACTACTAAGTTACAAACCAGTCTTTATATTTCAAAGCTTTTACAACCCTAAAATTTAACTCATGAATAAACTGTAAGGGCATCACCTATTTGTACTGATCTTGGTGTCATTCATGGAGTAAAAGACTACTACTTCTGCCTTAGCAGAAGACTATCAAAAAGAAGGAAAGCTAGGAACAAACATAGTAATGATAAGAGTCAAAGGAATTATGACTTTTTCCTTCTATTAAAACAATGTCAAGATAATGATATAGTTCAGCAAACATTTCACTTCCTGAAATAAGAATACTCACTTTTATAAAGCCAACAAGTGGCACAATCATATTACAGGGTACAGGATGCTTTCCACATTATAAAACAAATACTTTAGGGTACAGTATTCCAATCACTTCAGATCATCTCAGACGAAGCGCTCTTCAGGAAAACATGTTTTTCTTGTATTGTATTTTCAATCTGTTGAACTATATCTGTACCTATATCCTCATCAGAACATCCCTTAAATTTAAGCCAGTTACCTAGGTTTTTTTGGTTTTTTAAATCAGGATCAGTATGGCATGCTGATACTCTAGGTCCTATACTCTAGGTTCTGCTTCCTTTTGCCTATTATGTTCCCTATTTCAAAGAGAAAGTAACAAAAGGATTGTATGAAGTTTACTTTGTTGTCCTACTCACAGATAAGACTGGGAGAGATTGGAGACGAAAAAGAAACTACAGGAGGTGCAGTAGATGCCTAAAACCCTGAGATTACATCCTGGCACATAAAGAATTATAAAACTGCAGGAACAAATAACCTCAATACAATACTGTGCTCATCTACCCTCCATATATACTTCATATTTTATCTTGAAATGATTTACTGCTGTAAAAAACATTTCTAACCATTACCTTTGCAAGCAGTGATTTCTGAAAATGGATTATTAAGCTTTTTATATTTTGAGACATTGTTGTTGCCATGGTAAGTCCCTCACAGCTGAGGATGCCGGTGCCTTGGTGGAGGTGGTACAGCCAAACAGAGTAGAAATGCAGACATCTGTGCATGCCTAGGCATTATAAACATCTTTTGCTTTGCTGGTATGTCAAAAATTACAAGATTTCAAAAATGTTCCCATTCTTCATCTCCCTGGCCCAATGTATATCAATTACTTATGCAAAATGCAACACCTCTAGTACAGGATATTGAGAAGGACCCTCCCAGAACAGCAGAGAGCCTGAAAGTCAAGACATTCATCTAGAACTGTGGCTGGCAAACTTTTCAAACCGCAGGCCAGAACAACCTGGCTCATCTGACACAGGCCAGGTGGCTTTTGTGGCACATCAATTGTGGGGGGACTTTCCTCCACCACTTTCCATGCCAGGGCCAGGCAACTGGGAGCTGTGCCCACACTGCCACTTCTCCAAGACCCTTGGCTCCCCAGCTGGGGCATGAGTACAAGTGCAGCTTGCAATCTATAGAGAAATGTACTTGGACCAGGCAGCTGGAAGCTGCATCCATGCTGCTGCCACCTGCACAACAGCTGGGAGGAAGGAAGAAGAAGAAATGGCAACAGAGTAGATGGAGCTTCCAGTTAACCAGCCCCAGCACAACTTCTCACCAGCTGGAAGCTGTGGCCCATGCATAGGCCAGAGGGATGCTAGCTGGTGGAGGAAAGAAGCAGCAGCTCCTTGCTGCTTAGCCACAGCATGGACACAGGCACAGACATAGGCACAGGCAAAGCCCTCAGGCTCTGCTGGCTATATCTGGCCCCTGGGCCATATGATGCTGACCCTGATCTAGAATATGGAAGAACCAAAGAAGAACCCTAATCAACAAGCTATTATTGCTGCTGGGGTCTCTCTCTGACTTGAACCAGAAATACACCCTTCCCCAAACACCATTTTCATCAAAACTAAGCCTTTCCCATTAAAAGTTTCAGTTACAATAAAGCAGCATTTTCCAAAGAAAATCATTTTATTGAAAAATCCTTAACCAGTTTTAGTTCAGATACAAGCAATACTTACACTGCACAAACCAAAATAAAAATAAAGACAGCTCCAATATACAGAACGCCTTTAAAAGCAAATGTAATGGGTCTTATCCCAAGAGAACAAGCCAGATGCTTCATCACAAAGAAAACAAAGCAACTACCACCCACGCCCCCTCCCACAGCCAGTTGCTTTGCATACATTTTACCCAATCATAAATGCATAACAGCAGCTTTCCTTTACATCAAGCAAAGAACATCCAGCATATGTCCATTTTGACGAATTAGGCTACATGGCAGGGCTATAAGAACTGCAATTATGTACAAATATTAATCAATGAGATGGCCAAATGACTAATGCATCAAGCCACTAACTATAATTGATAAATAAGGTAAAATAACACTCCAACAATCTTGATAAAAATCAAATAACAGTGAAAAAAAGATCAGATATATAATGTCATTTAAATTATAAAAAGATTTTTAAAATACACTTGTTTTAAACTTAAGCTAAATGTAATACAAAATATGTTAAAAGATTGTATGTTTAGGCCTTAAAATAAGTACATCAAATAAACAGCTAGATCCATGAGCTCCTATCAACAGCTTTGAGTTACAGGTTGAATGTTTTCCTATACAAATAAATGATTAGTGGGGGACATCTAACTTCTGAGGGAAAGATTTATAAATATGTGCAGCATAATGCACATACTGTATTAAGGAGTCGCTGGCACCTTGCCACTTAGTGCAAGACACTGGCAAAGTCATTACAGGCATTGTAATCTGGCCTCTGACACTAGGAGACACTTATGCATATCTTATCAAGATCAGCTACTGAGCTCATTTGGGTAGTCTCATACTCCTTACTTGTGATAAAATTCATGAGCAAAAACGTAATTACTGCATTTACCCAAATCCAAGACTATGAATTTAAGACGACCCCCCAGTAATTAGATTTATATTTGGAAATATTATAAATTTGTTAGAATTTTCCATATATAAATTATATTATTGGTGGGTTATCTTAAATTCAGCCCCTTCACCAATGTAGGGGTGTGTGGCAGGGCACTGTTTGTACCTGACACTTTAAGGGCGTGGAGTTAGCAGGTGCCAGGTGCCTGATGAGGGCAACCATTTTTGAGCCAAGGGCTGCCCATATAAACAGGGCAGTTTTACTACTGGAGGCCAGGCAACAACATTGCCTGGTCAGAGGGCTACTGGTATCATCTGGAGGTAAGGGAGGAGCTGTAGGGGATGGTCAGGAGGCTCCTGGGTACAACCTGAAACTGCATCCTGCTGGGAGTGGGTGGCCTGGTGGGGCTCTCAGTGGCATGGGAGCCCCCAGGAAATGCCAGGCCAGTTACTTCCCCAGTGAAAGGTGGGTCAGGGTGCCTTAACACCTAGCCCCCACAACTGGGTGGGTTACCCCTTGTTTGGAGGGTGGACCCCTGGAGAGAGAAAAGGCCATAGACTCACGCCTGTCTGGACTTCCCCTGACTGGTCAATGCTGGGGCCAGGACCAGAAGGGTTGAAGGGCCGGGGGGCCCACCGTGAGGAACACCCAAGAGCTGAGGGCCTGGGGTCCCAACTGGCCTGGAGGTGGGCCAGGGCTAGTGAGCCAAGAGTCCCGGGGGGACCACACCCAAAGGGGAAGCGGGTCAGGGAGCTATGCTGCCTAGTATGAAAGCGGATGGGACCGCCTGAGGAGAGGAATCCAGGCGGGGTTCAATTAGGAGGATTCTAGGGCCCAGTGTGGGGGGCCGGTGATGATGGTAACATCTAGATGACATCTGCGAGGCTTGGGCTGCGGTGTAGGGGAGGAATGGAGCTGCAGATAGCACCCCCTGGCATCCAGGCAGGAAATGGGCAGCCTCCCACTTAATTACATCAATAAACTAATTAACAACAAGGCGTGGTGGGCGAGAAGGCAGGTGGGTGGGCCACCATTAAAACAGCCCTGACAAGCCCCTCTGTTACAGGGAGCAAGCAGCAAGAGTTTCAAGAGGCCTGACCCCTGCCACTTGTCCCCACCACCACTACCACCTGTCTCCCTGCTGCATGCCCTAAACCCTGTCCCCCTAAAGTGCCTGTATGCCCTGGCACCTAACCCCCTCAACCATTCTCCTCCCTGTACTGCTGCCCCCCCCAGGCCTCCATTCCCCCCCAGTACCCACCCACCCACCACCTGAAGCTTGTCACTACATGTACCCCCCCCCCCCGTGCCTGTACCCCCTGGTGCCTGCTCTTCCTCCTGCTGTGGTACCTGTATATCCTGGCACTTGCTATATCCTGTACCCCCTGCCACCTACTCTCCAGCATGGCTCCAGCCATGGACAAAGGCTCCCAGGGACAAAGCACATGGTCACTGCAGCAAAGCCTGACCACATAGCAGCAACAGCAGCAGCTCCAGCCTCAGCCCTAGCCCAGCGTGGCCTGGTTGGAGCTGGAACAACCACGTGCTCCATGCTCTGATCGAGAGCTAGAGCTATGCCAGAGGGTAAGCAATGGTGTCAGGGGCAGGGAGAGAAGGGGGGTAGAGGCAGCAGCAGGAGCAGAGGCAGAAGAGAGCCAGTAGGGGGCAGGTGGCACATGAGATGTGGCAGTGATTGTGGCTCTAATTCCAATAAGCCTGCCCCATACTCAGCACTTGAATGCAAGATGAAGGGCTCCTCGCCCCATGCTGAATAAGAAAAAAAAACTTGTCTTGGATTTGAGTAAATACGGTAACTATTTAAATAAGCAATGTGATAGTAAACAAGCCACATATCCTTCACCATTGTCTAACATACTAAAATGTGAATTATACAAACGTATGCAACTGCTTAAACAGAGTTCTAGTGTAGCATTCCAAGTAGCTAAAAAGATGTTCCAAATCTAGTGTAAAGGTTGTACTTAACTGGAAAGTAGTTTCATATCAGCCGCTAAGAATGTACCTTTCTTTAAAATATAAAAGAAGTACAAATGGAGAAGTTAATTTAAAACTGAATGTTTAAAT